GTGTGAGTGGGTGGCCCTTAAAAGAGCCGTTTGGACGTACTGGGTGTTTGGATGTACTGGGTGTCATGCCATACTTTTACATGGCCATCATTGAGTCCATCCTCTGCTCCTCCATCAGCGTCTGGTACGCTGCAGCCACAGCCAAGGACAAGGGCAGGCTGCAGCGGGTCATCCGCTCTGCAGAGAGGGTGATCGGCTGCAACCTGCCGTCCCTGCAGGACTTGTTCGCTTCCAGAACCCTGAAGCAGCTAAAAAGATGGTAGCCGACCCCTCTCACCCCGGACAAAACCTGTTTGTGCCCCTTCCATCTGGCAGGAGGCTGAGGTCCATCAGGACTAAGACCTCCCGCCACACCAACAGTTTCTTCCCATCGGCAGTCAGGCTCATCAACAGAGCTTTTTATCAACTGTCTGATGTTATGCACCAACCGCCAAGTCAAATTCCTTGTATGTCTGACATATTATGGCAATAAATGTTTCCTTATTCCTGACAGTTCCCTTGGCAGAGAAGTTTGATGTGAAGGTGGTGAATTCTGGTTACCGATCCGAGCCGATTAACCTATTAAAGGGGCTATTAAACGGGCTAAAGGCTAGCCTCATGTGCCGCTGCAAGCAGCAGTCATCCAGACAGTGAAATTCACGGAGCTGTCTGCGGTAACAGATTCTATTTTATATCAAAACATGACGGCATTTGGTGGTCCGATGTGAGTACGAAAGAAAAAGCAGCTGATTGATGCCCAAACAATTCAGAGGCCTTAAGGCTCAGAGATCAAAAGGCTGCTGTTACATCTCACTATTGTACAAAAAAATGAACTTGATTAATCAAGTTCATATTTGCCCCATTCTAGAATTGTATATTGTAGCCTTTACAGTTACCCTCTTGTGTAATGCGAATGCATATCTGAATAGTACATTATATTGTCATAAAGTAAGTAGAAAAGTAGAAAAACGGTGTGGATGTGTGTGTTTGTTTGTTTTTTAGCACTTTAGACACGTTAAACGTTACTGGATTCAGTCTGCCTGTCTGTGACGTCATCAGTACGCAGCGGCAGCCGCGCGAAACTCTGAACAACAACAAAACACAGCGTGGAGGAGACGACTGCGAGCGAGACATTTACAAACCAACTTATCGATCCAGCGCGTGGAAACATTTTGGCTTTTGCAAACACGGAGGTGTTCTAAATAAGTCGGTCGCTGTTTGTAGAATATGTAGAAGCCAAATAAAAAACCAGGGAAACACAACGAATCTTTCCGGCCATCTACTAAGGCGCCGTGGGATTAAACAACGCCGACAGTCAGGACCTCTAGCAGCGTCACCGCTGCAGCAGCAGCAGGTAACTCCAGCTCTGCAGACACCTCAGGCCTCCAGCACCAAACTCAACATCACAGTAACAAGTTTATCTGTAAAGACATGCGACCCTACAATGTGGTTGAAAATCCGGGGTTCTGTGAATTGATCCAAACATTGTGTAATTATTGTGTAATGTTTACATTGAAAATGGTTGCACAATAAAAGGTTGATACATTTGCCATTAATTGTTGTTTGCTTGTTTATAATATCCATAATTGATCCAAAATGATCCAAGATGGCGCCGTTGATGGCTGCCACAGTGCTTTTTGTGTAATAATAAAAACCAGAAAGACCCCTTTTACCCTAAAGATGGCTCCCAACAGGAGGGAGGGAGATGGTGGAACATGGGACCTACAGGTTGTGCCAAACAAATGAAATTAATATAACAAAATGAGGCCTAGCTCACCACTGGCTCTTCATCCAAAACAAGTCAAACAAAATACCTTACCTGCTTATCTAAAAAAGGACTAAAGGAAAACGTTACACAGGAGGCAACCACCACTACACCTGGTGTATCTCTACAAAGGTATACCTACGTGCAAAAATGTACAGGGTACCCCAACTTACTGAGGTCCTCAACCTCCACCTTACAAAACTCCAGTTTTGCTAGCAGACAGCTAAAGCTCATGTACAGGAAGACTGGCCACCAGCCCGCAGCGCAGAACACACCCCCTTTTCACTTCTCAGGAGTCTTCCTTTATGGTCTGCCACCGGAACTGCTGATTGCTTTCCACCTGTGTTTGGAGTTGGCCAATCAGCGTAATCACTGGGGGAGAGAAACAAATGAGCAAGAGGGAGAACTACAAGAACACATGCAGACCGTCCCCGTCTGGCATGTAACAGCTGCGTTCTTTCCCCTCTGCTCTTGTACACCAACAGCTGCACCTCCAGCCACCAGTCCGTCAAGCTCCTGAAGTTTGCGGATGACACCACCCTCATTGGACTGATCTCTGGTGGGAACGAGTCTGCCTACAGGTGGGAGTCTGACCATCTGGTGTCCTGGTGCAGTCAGAACAACCTGGAGCTCAACGCTCTAAAGACAGTGGAGATGGTTGTGGATTTCCGGCGGAACAGCCCCACCCTCCCCCTTCACCCTGTGTGACTCCCCCGTCACTATTGTGGACTCCTTCCGTTTCCTGGGCTCCATCATCACCCAGGTCCTCAAGTGGGAGCTGAACATCAGCTCCATCACCAAGAAGGCTCAGCAGAGGTTGTTCTTCCTGAGGCAACTGAAGAAATGCAACCTGCCAAAGACGATGATGGTCCACTTCTACACGGCCATCATGGAGTCCATCCTCTGCTCCTCCATCACCGTCTGGTACGCTGCAGCCACAGCCAAGGACAAGGGCAGGCTGCAGCGGGTCATCCGCTCTGCAGAGAGGGTGATCAGCTGCAATCTGACGTCCCTGCAGGACTTGTTCGCTTCCAGGTCTCTGAAGCAGCTAAAAAGATGGTAGCCGACCCCTCTCACCCCGGACAAAACCTGTTTGTGCCCCTTCCATCTGGCAGGAGGCTGAGGTCCATCAGGACTAAGACCTCCCGCCACATCAACAGTTTCTTCCCGTCGGCAGTCGGGCTCATCAACAGAGCCGGTCCCCCACTGACTGACTCTGTTATTCCACCGGTCACTCCCCTTCACACTGCACACGTCACTGCAATTCATCACTTTGTCGTCACTTTGTTACTTGTTAGTTAGTGCACTTTATGCTTAATATTTCTTTTTCAACTTTCTTTAATATTTAAAATTTTTAACTTTATTCCCTTGTTTTATACTAACCCATAGCCTTATTTACTAACCCATTGCAACAGCATTTCATTTTACTTTATTTTATTACTTGTGCACTAATGTCTTGTCTATTGTCACATTGTCTACTGTCACGCACCAACCGCCAAGACAAATTCCTTGTATGTTTGGCATATTATGGTAATAAATGTTTTATTAAATGTTGTCGTTGTTAAAATGAATCGTTACACCCCTAATGCTAACCTTGTTGCTTTCTTCACCCAGAACTCTTGTGTGCCTCATTGCTCGGCTCTTCATCCCCGTTGCCAGGATCCACAAGCCAGCCAGCACCCTGCTACTCCTGCCTCCCTCGTCAACTAATAAACTCTGTTCATATATCCTACTACAAACCACTCCGTCTCTGCTTTGGGGTCCGAACCTTCACTTCAACGTAACAAGAACATCAGCAGGATGTGATTGATTTTCTTGATTCCTTGAAAAAATATGTTGTATTAACGTCCCTACGTCAGCAACTGATGAATCAAATAAAGTTTAACAGATCGGTAGCTACAGTATGTCCTAAGCCAACAGCTGCATTCTTTCGGGGGCTGCATTTGTAGAACTATGGCGTCACAGCAGCTGAAGAGAGAAGAGAGAAGAGGTTGTCCTATTTCTAAGATTTCAAATGCAGCCCTCGTTTAATCAGACTGCTGGATCCTCCATGGCCCAGTATATCTCAAGATGCATTGCGTGCTGAAGATTTGCTTGTTAACAAATGAACCAGCGGTGGAAGAAGCGGAAGAATTTACCCATAAATGTAGGAAAGGATTTTAGCTGGCTCAAATACAAATACAAATGTTGCAACAAGAAAAAGTGACCTGTGCTTAAGTTAAGTTTTGGAATTGGGAAAAATACCTGCTTCCTGATTAATTTCCACTGGCTTAGACTTTTAAATTTACTTTTAGCTAAAAGTACATGGCTTTATAATTTAATTTGAAAGTAAAGTGAAAATGTTCTTCTCTCAGCCTGAAATAAGGAGACATCAACATGCAGAGGATCAAACCACTGATCCTTTGATTGAAGGACCGCCGTGCTGTCCACTGAGCCACAATTGTATGATAAATGTACTATAAATCATTTTAAAAAAAAAAGTCAAATTAGGAATGAGTGATAATAATATCCATTATTTATTCATTCATTATATGTATAGCCCAATATTACATATTGGTCTCAGAGGGCTTTACTGTGTGTACAGTCTCACATAAGCACATAAACTCCCCCAGAATGAAAGAAACACAATAACAGGGAGAAAACAAGGAAAGTTTATAAATGAGAAAGCCTTTTTTAAAGTACTTAAATTAAAGAATATTGGAGTGAATACTCCTACAGCTTTGAATTCAGTTGATTCAGCTGTGAGTGATGACAACCAAAGCCACAATTTGACACATATTCTCTTCATATAAGAGAACATTCTGTACAGTAACTTCTGTGGTTATTGAAACCACTTGTTTTAGCTCTATTCCGTTCTGTTTACCTTATTGTTGGGAAATGAATCCATATCATGTTGGGCTCTTTTTCATAGCCTTCCTTTCAAATGTGAGTGGGTACACTTGTTCTCAAAGATTTATGCTGTTTCATTGGGGAGCTTCAAAATGTTCTAGTTCTCTATCATCTGTTGGTTTACAGTGGTGTCAGGGACCAGACTCGGATTCCGATCCGCCTATTACTGACCCCTAATTTAAATTACTTACAGTGAAAAAATGTAAAAGAAACTCCACTTTTAAGTACAAAACGCAAAGCAAATAAAGGACTTCCTGTGACCTTTTCATGGACTGCCATGTGCCTGGGCGTGAAATCCCCACCCGACAGAAATGTTGAACTCTGATAGCAACATTTTACTCAAACAAACTTAAGACAAACAGCCAGCTACTTACAGTAAAAATATTTTATTTAGAAACGATTATTCATTTTGAAAATAGGTTTTTAGAAATCCAGTGATATATGTAAATAATCAATTAACAGGTTAAAGTGCAAAAATACATTTTTGATATAATGCATCTGTACAAAAATAACATTGGGGGTGTGATATTGAAAAGGAAGGAAATGAATTAACATGGCTTAAACATTCTCGGTTTAAATGTAACTCCATTATGCTTGTGTCCCTTTAACGTGTTTGCATTGTAAGCATCTGAGCAACGTACTGAGCAGCCAAAAGGATGTTGTTTTTCATTTAAAATTTCACACATTAATTTCCAAGGCAAGCTTTGATAACTAAGCATCCACTTCTCCACTAAGGCTTACAGTATTTCTGCATAATTTCTTTAAGCACTAGCTGGTATTCCCACAGAAGCAGAGCGCTCTGCTTCCAGCTGCTGAGATGAATAAGTGTTTGGTTCTTCTTTCACTGCTGTTGTCTTTGGTTGAGTTGTTCCAGTGTCCCTGTCCCTTCCCTGCTGGCAAAGTGAATCACTTGATCTTGGCTGGCTTTAGTTCCTTGACCTGCATGTGTAATGTTTTATGGACAGCCAGAGTCCTGGACTGACAGAAGCCCTTCCCACACTCCTGACATTTGAAGGGCTTTTCTTTGGAATGAATGTACCTGCAGGGTGGACACACAGAGCAGCCCGTTAGCATCATCATGTCTGCATTCAGAACACCACTGTTGCTACTGACAAAAGCTTCACCTTCAACAGATAGATTATCCTGTTTTGCAAATGCTGCTACGTTTTGTGATATTTCCAGAATAAATGAAGTAGAATAGGTGGTTTGGAATCACCAGTGTCTCCACAGGCTTCCATCTCAAAGGTTTATGGAAGCAGGTGGGACCTACACCCAGGCAGTGAATTTACATTCGTGTGGACCATAGGCAATATTGTTTTTTGTAAACTTCGTGCAGAGAAAGTAACATAGTCAAAATATGTATTCAGGCTGTGCTTTTTCTTACTGTCGCTTCCTGTGTGCGGTGTCACTATCTACCTGTTCACACTTCACAGTTAACTAATAAAGCACTGGTTTGAAATGTGTTCTCCTGGATTCTCCTGCTACCAATCACAATGTCCGAGAGCATTATTTTGGACCCTTTTGGAGTAATGCGCAGAAGGAGCGTTGTGTTATTTCAAATGTTTAGCTGTAAGAACTACATACATAAAATGTGGCCTTATGGCTTTACACAGCAGAACACCAATAGCAGACAAAGTACTACGTTTCTAACAATGGCAACTATTTCATGAGGAAAAATTTGTATTCAAATTCTAAATTTGTCAGTATAAATAAATCTGCAATACAACACACTGTAAAATTATGCCAGTTTTACATTAATGTCAGCACCCAGTTAATCATTTCATTTAGCGTCTGCTGGTTCCTACGTGTGTGTATGAAGTGAACTACGGCGCAGTTGTTTAAACACATTCAACATCTTTTACATGAACAATGTTGGATGGAAACTAATTTACCAAACTCTTTACACACTCACCACCAAAATCCCTTTAGTGTGTTTCTGAGAAATAGGCTTGTCAAATCCTCTAATCCAAACAAATGACATTTCATTTTAACAGGGTTGTTTCTGAATGTATCCTGTGTGGACACTGAAGCTGCTGCTTGTACTAGAAGTGGTTCCATAAAGACAGAAAAGTAGTGATCGGCTCTGCTTCTCACCTGTGGTCCCGGAGATGGTCCTGTCTCCTGAAGGCCTTGTGGCAGATATCACAGGTATATGGCCTCTCGTCCGTGTGCGTCCTCTCGTGGATCAAGAGGTTGTAGGATTTGGTAAAGTGGCGGCCGCAGAACTTGCAGACAAACTCTTTCTTTGTCTTGGACGGCAATCGGCCTCTGCTGGACTTTGGGGAAGAGAGTTTGTTAACATCCAGGAGGGATACGAGGCCTGCTGGAGTCGGGTGGTGAGACGAAGCCTGTGCTGCTGCACCGGTCATGCTCAGGTCTTCGGCCTTCAGATGGTCCTCCTGGGTGGCTGCAGCTGCCAGGTTGGCAAAGTCAAAGCGGGGCTTGTTCTTGGAGATCTGCAGCAGTCCCACTGAGTGATGCTTGGCTTGCAGTAGGTGAGGGAACATGGGGAGGGAGGCCATGGAAGGGAACTGGGCAGGCAGCTTGGAGATGGTGCAGCGGGGCACGGCCAAAGGTGGGTAGCCAAGGGTCCACTGGTGGAGGTGAATGGCATGTAGGGCACTGAAGCAGTAGATACTTTGAAAATGGTCTGCTGGTAGCTGAAGGCCTGTGGAGGTCTGTAGGAGGGCGTAGTTAGCCAGCTGGAGGGACGGGTGGAGAGGGACGGGGGCTGGGAGAGTCTTGCTGGCCATGGCTGAGACACAGTATCCAACTTTTGGGAGAGACAGAAAACATCAATTACTTATTTACAAAACGTATTGCTTAGAAAGTACTAAGCAATAAGTAACCGCTCAGGTTTCAGATGGGACACAATCTACAACGCACTTTGATCTTCTAGGAACAAACAAATTCTACTAACAAGGGCAGTAATATTATTCATCCCCTCTCTGTCCAGACATTTTACAAACTGCAAAATGCTTAAACTGTATAGGAGATAAGTCCAGTTTTGTTCAATTACAAGAAATAATTGGGAAAACGTGCTCATTTGCTTCTTTTCTTGGAGTGAGATAAGATGACGGATCTGTGTGTGTGTGTGTGTGTGTGTGTGTGTGTGTGTGTAAAGAACGGCGCTGAGTCAAGGTGGTGGCTAAAAGAAACACTATGGACCTTTTGGACAGAGACATGCTGCATCCCTCTGCCTTTGCTTCCTGTTGGGTATGCTAAGCTAACTTTACATACAGGCAGAAGGAATTACTGTATTTTACTACTGTGAAGGTGTGTATGGGTGTGTGTGTGTGTGTGTGTGTGTGTAGGTGTGTGTGTGTGTCCCGTAGATGTGTGTGTGTGTGTGTGTGTGTGTAGATGTGTGTGTCGTGTGTGTGTGTGTGTAGATGTGTGTGTGTGTGTGTGTGTGTGTGTAGATGTGTGTGTGTGTGCCATGCATGCCCTAAGAGCCCACACCCCCTCCCCCCCCCACACTCCCCCCCCCCCCACCCCCCCCCCCCCCCCCCCCCCCCCCCCCCCCCCTCTACTTGTTCTGTACATAAGTACAGTCCTGGATTACTTGGTATTTCTGTGCTCCATGCCAATACTACACTTCTTACTGGATTACAGGTACCTAACATCTCCTTTGATCCGCTCTTCACTAAGCGATAATCCACCACTGTGATCTGACACACAGTGAACTACACAAGATATGAGCTCATTACTTGCTGCACAATTGATACTTTAACCTGAAGTATTTTTTTACAATCTGTTTTTTGAAATAGTTTAACTTTAACTTTTACTGCTTTTACTTCCTCATCATAACAGGAGACTTGTTCTCTTTCTCTTCTTTAAATGATTTTGCTTGTTTTGTCTTTGTAAAGAACTCAAAGGGCTGCAGAGTCTTTGTGATATAAATCATTATTTATAGAAAGTGTAGTATATGAAAAAAGTCAAAGACGATATTGCACATGGGCGCGTACAACATCAAAATAAATACTTACTGAAGTATATTTTGTATAAGTGTAAATCTTTATTGACTTCATGTGTCAGGTTTAGGATGTTCTCTTATGATTCATTGATAAATGAAAGCTTCCATCTAACTCACCTTATCTCATAATGCATTGACCTGAAGTGTCTGTAACCAGGAATAGTGTTGGAGGTGGAGTGGTGGTAATGAGGGGCAGTGGAGCTCAAACAGCCCCCTGTGGTCGGTTCCTTTCTGGTCACCACGCAGAAGTAATTGACTTATACTTCGGAGGTCATTAGAGGAGAGAAGTGCTGTGCTGCCCAGCGTGCCCTCACCTTTAACCCTTTGATGTTTGCATAGGGGGGGCCGCCATGTGGCCCTCTGCCTCAGACTGTGAGAGAGCCCCTCGGAGGGTAAACGGGAGTAGGCCGTGTGTAGTACACGTACATGATCAATGCATGTGAACCTTGCTGAGCGCTAACCATCAAAAACGCAAAGACAGAATGTCAACCAGATAATTAAGACATGGACGTGTTTGGAGACCCGATCCCAATGATTCGGGTCCATACAGACATTTTAAAGAAATTGCATCACAGCCTGATTCATTCATTTTGCAGCTCACTAAATGATCTCTATTAGTACCTCGGCTATGATGAAGACAGAGGTAACGTCAATGCAGCTTTGTGCCGCAGTAAAAATCAACAGCTTTTCTTCCTCTAACATCTCATTTGTAATCTTGTATTATTCTACTAACAGTAGATCTCTGGAAATGTTTTCCTGGTGGAACAGGTTGAAACTAATAATGCTGTTACCATCACATAGCTGCACTTACAAAATACATGATGGATTTAATGAGCAGTTTTTATCATAATGAATTCAAAAGAATAGCTTGTGAACCTCTTATCTGATGCATATGGCCTCATCTGATCTCCATCTATGTCTGCGAGATATTTGTTTGCTGTGTGTGAATGATGGGCCCTTCAGAGCGGAACCAGGAATCAAGATAAAATAACACTTTTCTTCTGTTAAGCAATTTCCGTCATATGTAACTCACGACCTGCTGAGGACGTTTAAAGCTTGATTATGTGTGTAAAAGCTTCTTTAAAGAAGCGATTACAAACCAGCACCTGTTGCACAAGCTGCGTCCTACACGTCCCGCTATTAATATATGTAATAATAATATAATATAATAATGTAATAAGTGTTTCAGCTTCCATCCCGCTGTATGCATGAGATGTGCGATGAGGTGAAGACTTACCAATAAAGTGTGTTTCGTCCCTTTACAGCAGCGCGTGAGCCGGACGCCTCCAGCACGCGGATCCCTGCGCTGTGGGACGCGTCTCTGGGACGCGTCTCCGTCCCGCTGCTGGACGCGTCTCCGTCCCGCTGTTGTGCGCGTCTCCGTCCCGCTGCTGGACGCGTCTCCGTCCCGCTGCTGGACGCTTCTCCGTCCCGCTGTTGTGCGCGTCTCCGTCCCGCTGCTGGACGCGTCTCCGTCCCGCTGCTGTGCGCGTCTCCGTCCCGCTGTTGGACGCGTCTCCGTCCCGCTGTTGGACGCGTCTCCGTCCCGCTGCTGTGCGCGTCTCCGTCCCGCTGTTGGACGCGTCTCCGTCCCGCTGCTGTGCGCGTCTCCGTCCCGCTGTTGGGCGCGTCTCCGTCCCGCTGCTGTGCGCTCTCCGTCCCCGCTGCTGTGCGCTCTCCGTCCCGCTGTTGGACGCGTCTCCCTCCCGCTTGTTGGACGCCGTCTCCTGTCCCGCTGCTGTGCGGCTCTCTGCTGGCCTGCCTTCTTTTATTTCAGAGTCCGACTCCGACCGGCGCGTCACTCGCATGAGACGTCCTCATATATAACACCCAACAAGAGCACGAGCAGCGCGCTGTCAGGCCGAGCAGTGTCAAGTGCTAGGATGGACATGTTCGGCCCCTCTCACTGATCACTATCGCTTTTCCCTCAAGACTCCCAAATCCTAAAGGAAGGAATACGAGTTGACTGAAGACATTAAAGCTCCGTTTTTGAAGGGTCAAAAATGAAATGTGGTTCAATCTTTAACTTTAACATTTCCCAATTGATTGAATATCATGAAGGCATGCACCACGTGGTTTTAATAACAGGATACATTCATACATCTTGAATCATCTCTGTTGTAGGAATTGAATGTATTGTTCATTCTGTCACACAGATCCTCCTCGGATGTTCTCCGCATTATTTGGGTTTCATGGACGGGTTTTTCACTTTTTGGGGAGTTTTTACTGCGCCGATGTGAGTATTTTTAGGACATAGGATAAAACCCTCTGAGGCAAACTTGTAATTTGCGATTTTGTCAGACGAAATCAAGAGAATTGAATTCAGTGACCTGTCATTGTCATTAGATATCCAAATAGATCGACCTTTGTGGATATAAATTATGCAAACCTCGTTAAAAATTGGACAAAGAAGAAGTCAAATCTGCAAAACAGAAAACATATACTGGATTCTTCTCCCTTCATTCATTCATCCCCTGGGGGGCACGACCCCCAGGCTAGGAACCATTGTATTCATAAGTGAGAGGCGGATCAGCGTGTGAGTCGTCTGGATACAACCCGCTTTGCAGGATAGTATTGAAGCGGATGATGTTCTGCAGCAACTGAGGTTGTAAAGTTCAGAGAAGAACATCTGCCACCTGCTGGAGAACACAAACCTCCTCCTTTCCTGTCATTTGACCTCTGAGGTTGTGACTCTGTCGTCTTGATTGTAATCCAGAGCAAAAATCGGAGTGGAATAAATCACATGACCGATGATGATACGAGGTGGATCGGGTTAGTGGGCCCAGTTAGTTGTATGAAAGAAAGCCCAGAAACGAAGTAAGAATAAAACTACATTGCTTGGACATCATTTAGATTGCTTGAAGGAGTCAATGTAAAAAAAGGCTTGCTTGTGGTGGCACGTACACACACACACATCCACGGAGCAGCACACAGTAAATCACTAACATACCAGCCCATGACATCATTTGGGTTGTTGTAAAAACACTAAGCAGTCAAAAGGAAACAGCTGCAGCCCTTTCACAATACATGAAGCCCTCAGCTGCTTTTTCTTTTTTAATGGTAAAGCTGTTTTTTGCAAACATTTTTATTTCAAAGAATTAAAGTATGAGAAATGAAAGTAATCGGGGTCAATACGTTTTGCTTGTCATGTCCTCAGCAATCAGTAGTTTTTGATTTATTGTTCAGCTGCTCTCTCTAGTGGCCAAGACAAGCACTACTATTTGGTTCCTATACGACTAGATGATCCAAATAATGACTGCTGCTAATATTTCTCTTCTTAAATCTTATATTGTATTTAGTAACACAAACGTGTTGTTTCCGTTAACATAAAACAACACGTATCATTTTAGACCCTTGAATGCCTAAACTGCATTTTTTAGAATTTGGAGCTGATGCAGGCAGCGCAGCAGTGAGATAAAGGAGCTGAAATTCTGAAGATTATCAATTCAACTGAAAATCCCCAAAAAGTTCTTTGTTCAGTCTGTGCATTGCCGCTGGCTCAGTCATAACCACTTCATTTGTTTCCATTTACAGAACCTTGGCAGTGTATGTACACCAAATAAATGCAATAAGAATCACTCACTCCTTTTTAAACAACACATCTGTTTGTTTTTTTAAAGGAGGGTTTAGTTTAGTAAAAATCTACTTGTGGGCCTTATGAAATCATCCGTCCTTTCCATGTGGGCACAGACGTGATCTTCCATCTGATCCACCCCTACCTGAGGACTCTCTGGGGCTCCATCAGCCAAGTCGGACAGATCGGCTAGTCTACTACCCTGGTCCACGTTGAAAGAGTGAAAACAACAATTGATTTGCTTTACTTTTTCTACAGATATTTATTTATATTTATATACCTCAGAGATTTCAGGATCTTACTAAACATAAGTTGGGGAGTAAGACGTTGCACCCACAAAGGAACATCAACATCAAAAATAGTATCCTTTATTGTCAATGAATGCACGGCTGAAATTTTGTGGGTTGTGGGGCAGCCTATGTGTTTCTGATAAATGGGGCCAGTGTGACAATATGGGCCCTTTTACCTATAAGGAATATAGTGAAAGGAGGGCTGAGTAACATGTCAAAAACCCACTCTAACATAATTCATCTTCAACCACACTAAACACTGATTTCCTTTATCAGCAGTCTTTATCAAAACCTGCAGTTTCATCTATTGATATCACTCAGACAGCACAAATGTATCATACATGATTAGGCTTTAACATGGTTAATGTATGTTTGTCATGTGATCCTCATCACATATTAACCATGCGGTAGAGGTGGATTTAGGAATAATGTATTCTACTTTGAATGCATGTACTCATCTAAATGCCAAATACCATTCATTGTAAAGTAATCATATCTGGTACTTGTCAGGATTCCGATGGTTAATAAGCTGTCAAGTAAAATTAGTTAGATTCCCAAGAAGAACAGTGACTATTTCAACCCATCTCCTACTGTCCAATTGGTGCTGTACTTATATCAAACATTTTTATTTGTGTGTTGTGAAACTTTTGGCCTGGTCAGTGAACATTCATTAAGCTTCATCTCATCTAACTGTATTTGTCGTTTGGGGAAGTAGTTAGTTTGAACCGAGCTGATTCGAGCTGAACAGAAACAATCTTTCTGTTCTCTTTCCGTCTCCATCAGTCTAACTACTGATCTTTTAGTTTGTTTTCCTCCCTGGGTGCCTGTTACGCACTTCACCTTGTGACCTGCCTTTGGGTTAAAGCCAGTGGACTGTAAAGGAATGTCTAATTTTGAGATCATATAAAATGACTGAGGGTGGTTGTTTGTAGAAACTAACACACTGTTGACTCACTGTCGAACTATTTGTGGTTAGAGCTGCTTTTGATTTTGACAAAACACACACACACACACACACACACACAGAACATTGGCTTGGGTCTCTTAACAGCTGCTGGTGGAAAAGATATTTACATTGTTTTAAGACTTTTAAAATGTTTCTCTCTAGTGACTTGTAGAATCAATATACTTGACAGCTGTAGGCAAGATCCCCCGATTTGCTGTGGTATTTATTTGGTTACGAATCGAATCGCCTGTTAGCAAGCATTAGAGACAACCTCAAGCTAATGCTGCGTTCACACCAAAAGCGAAGCAAATTTTCGCGAAAGCTTTACTCGCCCAACTACACTGAAAAATAGTTCCAATAAAAATGATTTTGTGGTATAGTAATATTTAGTACTTGGACCGATTTTATTTACCCTCTATATGCTTCCTTTGGGCGATCTTATCAGGAAACTGAAACTTCCATTGTTATGCAGACGATACTCAACTGTATCTGTCGATCAAACCAGAAGAGACCGACCAGCTAGTTAGACTTCAAGAATGCCTTGGAGACATCAAAACTTGGATGACCGGCAACTTCCTGATGCTAAACTCAGAAAAAAACAGAAGTTATCTGTCACTTGATACAGTTTTTATGAATGGAATCGCTCTGGTACCCAGCAGCACCGTCAGGAATCTGGGAGTTCTCTTCGACCAGGATATGACCTTCAACTCGCATATAAAGAAGACTTCAAGGACTACCTATTTTCATCTATGTAACATATCAAAAATCAGGAACTTCCTGTCTCAAAGTGATGCAGAAAAATTAGTTCATGCGTTTGTCACTTACAGACTGGACTACTGTAATTCTTTGTTATCAGGCTGCTCATGTAAATCTCTTAAGCCTCTCCAGTTGATTCAGAATGCTACAGCACGTGTATTAACAAGAACTAAGAAAAGGGATCATATCACTCCTGTATTAACTTCTCTGCACTGGCTCCCTGTTAAATCAAGAATAGATTTTAAGGTACTTCTCCTCACCTACAAGGCACTTGCTGGTGAGGCACCGTCGTATCTTAAAGAGCTTGTAACACCTTATTGCCCTACAAGGCAGCTGTGCTCCATAGATGCTGGGTAACTTGTTGTTCCTATGGTTTTAAAAAGTAGGCTGGGGGCCAGAGGGTAAGATAAATTTACCTCCCGACCGTGTTTTCGGGTCAATGATTCGTTCATCATACTTTGAAGTCTGAATGCGTATCAGGTTGGCAGGTCTGCTTATTGATAGAACGGTGGACTACTTTACCTTCTGCCTTGTCAGTCCCCTCAACTTAAAATCTACCTAGTCAAAAACGGTAGCGTTAGCTAATCATCTTCCACCGGAGCTTTAGCTAGCTGGCCAACGCCGCGTTCTCTCCTGCTGTGTTAAATGACTCAATTCATCAAGCTGTAGCTAACATTAGCTAAGTCTATGTCAACAAAGCTCCTGGGTAACTTAACTTAACTCGCGCTGCCTTCTGACACGCGCACCTGTTCGCAGTTCACTGAATATGAATACCCCCTCCCCCCCAAAAAAACTCATCGAATCTACACGATTTACGTAGGTCACCTATTTTGGTTTCAAAACGGCGAATTTCGCCGAAAGGTGAGGGATTTTCATGCCTGTCAATGAAATTTTTCATGAGCTTCAATTCTTATCATGCACAGCATCAGTTCCTGTTATATGAGAGTTGATCGAGTCTACTTTAAGGACCCATAGCTGTGAGCTGGACAGAGCTGTGATCGCTGATTTGGTTAAAATTCTCAGTGAAACACACCCAATAAGCTCAGCTTTGGCAAGCAATGGTCCCTTTTCAACATCTTACAAGAGAAGAGAGTTCATGAAGGAAC